CCTTCCTTCCTTCCTTCCTTCCTTCCTTCCTTCCTTCCTTCCTTCCTTCCTTTCATTTCTTAAAACAGATGTTCATATATTTCAGATTGACCTAAAACTCACTAATTATTGAGGATGTCCTGAAACTTCTAATCCCACCACCTCAACACCAACAGTGTCAGAGGAAGACCTTGTCTCTAAAACCTGAAAGGAAAGATGGGAAGGAAGAAAGGAAGAAAGAAGTAAAGGGAAAGAAGGAAGGAAAGACAAGTTATGATAAAATAGAGAGATTTACAGAACATATAGATAAGGTAAAAGAAGCATGAAATACAGCAGTGCAGAAAATTATAATATTCTTAATAAACATGTAAAAAAAGTAAATATGTAAACATGTAAATAAAAGTAAAACACATGTTGATTTGTCTGCATCTGTAAACAGTACATAAGGAAGATATCAAATGTCTGTGGTCCTATGTGGTATTAAAAAAAATTTAAAAAGTAAGGTCCTGGCCAGGTCCTATGCCTAGAGGCATTGCAGGTATGGCTGTTGTGTCATGTGTCAGTAGGTGGCAGAGAGAAGAGAGTCTATGTCTAATCTCAGTGCTCTGACCTATGAACATCTGGATAATTAGTAGCCTAACACTCCCTGTAAAGAGTGAGCAGGATACAGCCACTTATCCCACATCAGGAGTTCCTGAAACAGGGAGCTAATCTGAGATGACTATATGTCTAGTGCCTTGCAAGCCTGGGGGTAGACCATGCCTGAGATGACCCCTGCATGTGCCATAAAGCACAGGCAGGGCATGCCACTCCTAAAATCACTCCTGAGATGACCTCAGACACTGAGAGACCCAGGACACCACTACGAGGAGCAAGTAAATGGTAGAGAGATGGAAGAGAAAGAGAAGCAGACGGATGTGGGCACAATGAAGAGAGGCAGAACTGGAAACTATAGGGTAGTGAGGAGCAACCTGATGTGAAAAGCTATGGTGCTTCAGGCCATGGTGGGGTCCTGGCCTGAAGCAGCAGGGCTCAGGTACCACCAAAGGCCAGGTGGATGTCCCTGGTCTGCACTGCATCCCAAAGTCATGTTGATGTCTGAAGGCTGTGCAGAACTGCTCCCATCCCTCACTTGTGGTAGGAAAGAAGAAAAGCTGATCCTGGCCCTCACCTGCTGTAGCACTTAGCTGGACAGCACAGTAGAGCTAACCTGATGCCAGGGGCCTGGGTGAGCTGCTCTAAGGGCATGAGCTCAGGAGAGCCAACCTACCTCTTATCTGCTGGGCAGTAGCAGAGATGAGGAAGAGACACCCTTCTTCCATCCTGCATTCCTTACCATCTATAAGAGGCAAGAGAGCTGGCCCAGGGGTCATGAGTGTGGGAGAGCTGATCTCTCACCAGCTGTCACACTTGGGAGAGCAGGTCCTGCATCTAGCCTGGGCAGCAGGGTAGGGATAACCCTTGATGCAGGTTTGCTGGTGACCCAGTCAGAGGGCTTGAGAGTAGGTCAGCCTGAGGGCTGACCAGCTCAGGTACCTCTCAGGCCCAGGTGCAAGACTTTCAATTGGCCTACCCCAAAATCTTAAGCCGTCAGTGAACTGCTGGAGTACATGAAGGGCTGGTCCTATAAATCCAAACCTATAGGAACTTCATGACAGAGGAGAACAATAGGATATCTGAGAGGTGTCCCAGTGAGATTGAGTATTGATAGTGTAGCAGAAGCCAGAGGCCTTTTGTTGTGTGTAATAATTAAAAAACAATCCATGCTATCTCCGGCTACTCTCCGTCCCCGGCTGTCTCACCACCTCCATGGCTAGCCCCATGCAGCGTCCACTCAACTTCTTTAAGTTTGTTTGCCTCGGTTACCTTTTCCTAGAGCTCAGTTGAGTAGCTGTGAAATGGAAAATACGAGACAATCTTAGTTTAGAATCAACAGATAACAAAACCTCTGGGTACGGAATCTAGTATCCTAAATTCCCCAACTATTCTATGTTAGAAATTTTCCAGTAGTAGACCCTGGTGGATTCTGCCACTAGATCTAACAGCCCCCAGCCTACATCATGTCAGCTTTGCTCCTGCCTTCCAACAGGAAGTCCCCTCCTCCTGCCGTCCCTCTTCCTCTCTGACCCGGAAGGTCTGCCTCCTACTCACCTAATGGTTGGCTTCTTGTCGTCTTTATTATTTAATCAATTAGGGGAAAATTCTCCTACAGCCTTTTAGCAGACCAAAAAGGTCAATGCAATGAACATTTGCAAGCAAAGAAGTGTGGAGGAAAGGGTATACTGTGAGACACACTGGGACTACAGCTTGTACAATGAGATGCTTGTTCTCTGTTTGGAGGAGGTTACAATGGTGAAGAGCAGGTTTGAGGAGAGGAGGAGATAAGTGGGATTGGGATGTAGGATGTGAAATTCACAGAGAACCAGTAAAAGTTAAAAAGAAAAGACAAAATAAGGAAGCAGTGGAAGGGGATCCTGTCATGTGATCTGGTTTGGGGTTTTAAACCACAAAACTGGTCATATTAAAATGCAAAGCAATTAAGCAAAAAATTTTTGAAAGAGTAGCAGGGAGGAGTCAAAGAGTTCTCAGCATAGATTGCATAATCATGAATATGAGTTGGAAAATATACAAGCTGAGAGTTAAGGGAAGAGTCACGGAGACCAGATGTGACAGGTTAAGTGTGACTACCAAGGAACCTGTGGCTAGTATCTTCAATCACAGAAGAGATGTGTGTGATAAGGATTAGATAAGCATGGAGTGGCTGATGACACTCATATGCAATGATACAGTTGTCTAAACTTGTGTGCAGTCATTAGATCTTGAATGTTAGAGACACAAGAACAGAGAGCTTTTTTGAAATCAGGCTGATTCGCTGACTCTCTCTTTTTCTCTCTTTGACACACACACCTAAAAGCAGATCTGATAATTAGAAAATTGCTTTTATAAATAATGAACTCTCACATTTATTTGAACTTTGTATTTTTAAGTGAAAATAAAAGTTTGTTTGGCAAAAAAATATATGTGATTTAGATGAGTACTTTCTTCTTCAGGCACAGTTGTATTTAGAAATAAAAAATTAAGAAACATTTGGGTAGTGTGTGAAAGTCAGCAAATTGAAGCTAACTTTAGGCTGGAATCAATCCTGTGAAGAGTGAATTCTATAAGGACATAGGTTGGTTACAATGGAATAAAGAAATGATTGGAGAACTGGAACATTCCTGAATTTGTAAATGTACAACCAAGGAAATATAGATCACTGAATCAAGATATGTATTGTTCCAGTGAGAGTCTTAAGGCCTTTGTAAACCACCCAGATGGAAGTGAGCTATTGTTTTCCTCAGTGCTGCTGTTATGTCATTGACACTGCCTTTAACTTTTATTCTTTGAAATTTTTTCAGTTCTTTTTGTGGGAAAACAGCATTTTCTTTTTGATACTATGTCTCATCAAACACTTCTTTAAAATGGAGGACACTAACAGCAGTGATGCTGCAAGAAGACCTTCTTAATGAGGGGATGTATCTCTGGGTCATCCTTTAAAACCAAAGTAAATTAGAGATACTCTAAATCCTATCTCTTAAAGAAAGAACCACACTATCAGGTTTATAACAGAAGTAACACTGCTTCCAATTTTTCTGTTGTGGTCACTTTTCCTGTTGCTGTGATAAAATACTCTGATTATAGTATGCCTGGAGAAGGATTTATTTTGGTTCACAGTTCACCAGTACAATTGATCAAGGTGAAAAAGTGGCGGAGCCAGAAACTTAGGTAGCTGGTCATAATTCATCTGTGGCTAGAAAAGAGAACAGTGAATACTTCTGCTCTGGTCGTTGTCTGCCTTCTATCTGGTCCTGATCCCTGATCCATAGAATGGTGAAACTTACATTTAGGGAGACTCTGTCCACTTCATCTAATCAATACAACTCCTAACAGATATGCTCATATGCGTAATTCTTCACAGCCATACCCAAACTTGTCTCCTAAGTGACTCTACACCCTGTTAAGTTGACCAACAAAGATTAGCCATTACTGAATAATTGACAATATCTATAAGGTACTTAACTCTAAATGATACTTTTAGAGTAATTGAAGACCAGTGAAAACTCAATATTAAAAAAATGTAATCCATTAAGCAGTGAGAAATGGCACACATCTAGACAAGCACATGAAAAGATGTTCCTTAGTTCATCAAGTCAAACAACTATGAGATATTGCCACAAACCAGACAAACAGGCCTGGTGAGACAGCTCAGCTAGTAAAGGCACTTCACCCTCAAGCCTGACAACCCGAGTTCCATCTCTAGAACCCACACAAAAATAGGAGAGAATCAACTCCACAAAGTTTTCCCCTAGCCTTCATACCTGTGTTGTGGCAAGCATATTGCCCTCACATCCTTCATGTGTACACTCACTCACAGACAGACAGACACATGCATACACACACACACACACACACACACACACACTAATAATAATTTAAATTTAAAAAGCATGCAGAAGAGAATATGGAGAAACCAGATCATTCGATAATACATCTATGGTATGATTGTAAAATAACAATACTGTGAAAAGTAGTTGACATTTTCTAAATCACCTTGTAAGTCAGCAAGTATCCTCTTGCACTTTGTCCCATAGAAGTACAAATTGGCTCAGAAAGAATCTGTACACAGTGTTTACTGAGCTCTCACCTATATCAGTCCTAAATTAGACACTTTCTCACTCCTCTCTAGTAGATGAACGATTAAGCAAACATGCTATATTACGGAATATTAGTTAGCAATCAATTGGAAAAGACAACTGACCTGTGTAAGAACTTAAACAAACCTGCAGAGAATCACACTGACTAGAAAGATAAATCTCATGATTTTAGGAAGATAATATTCTTGATCCATGAAAACAATAGGGGCAGTGACAATAGTTTGCAGGGACCAAGAGGAGTTAAAAATGTTTACAAAGATAAGGGATGCACTTTAAAATGCTATCATTGAGGCAAACTGGGGGAGGGAGTGAATGCATTTTTCACTTTCTTTTCCAATATATTTGTGTGAGTGGTGTGCATGTGTCCATTGTGTGTACATACATGTTCACTGGTAAAGTACACACACATGTGTGCCCTTGTAGAAACCTGAAAGTAGATGTCCAATATCTTCTGTTTAGGCTACTCTAGCTAGCCAGCTTGCCAGGAGGTCCCCAGTCTACCTCTCAAGTGTTGAGTTTAAAGGTGGAAGCTATGGTTACCTGCCCTCTGTATGGTTTCTGGTGACCAGAACTCAGCTTGTCATGCGAATATTCAAGTATTTTCCCACTGAGATACTGCCCTAGATCTATGCTTTTTTCTTATTACTGCTTGTGAATCTATAATCAATTCAAAGTAAAGAGTGTAAAGTAGGGGGCACATGCTAAAATATGGACAGAGGGAATAAAAATGGAATGTAAGCTCTCTTTATGTCTTCTAGTTTGGGAAACACTGTTGTCAATTGCATCTTGGATTTACAGTTAGGCTTCGGCTGTTTCTTTCTAGAACCAATTATTACATTTGTAAGGAAACTCTTGAGTTCCATCCTGAATACACCAGTCATCTTTCCAGACTAACATTTTGACACACCCTTTCAGAACTGTCAACCTGAGGCTCAATTTTCTTAGGTTTT